CTTTCATTCAATGTAGCTAGTCAAATATAGCACCTTCTAAAATATATGTAATTTTTCACCCTTTGTTGGTCTTACACTATCCAGCCTTCAGTGCCATGCCACAAAATAGATTTTGACAAACACTCATAATAAATGGACTCATTTCAAGACGTACTTCTTCCCAAGGTTTTATCTGACATTTAATTCATCAGACTTTCACATACAGTTAAGTAACTGGAGAGGTGTAGAAGTTTTCTCAGCTGAGTGGAGTTAAGTGCATAGCATTCAGTGAATACAGAGATGGACCGGTTAGCAAAGTTTAGACCACAATCCAAACTGCAGTTTTAGGGTGTTTATATCTAGGGTGCTAGCTCAGACGTATCTCCATTTTAATGATGTAAACACTGGATGTGGTGCCTTGTTTATCGTGATGAATTTTGACCATTATAGAAGGAGGCATGACAACACGTTGATGCCATTCCTTTGCCAATTTTCTCAGCCACTAGGACACATTCAGGTTGTGAGAATACCGGTCTTGGATAATGATGCTTGGGGTGTGTGAATGTGAAGCACACCATGGTAACAGAAGAGAGCATCCCCACACTTCAATATGCCTTATAACAAATGATTCCCCATTGAGCAACCTCACTGTCCTGCAGGCCACATTCTAATAACTACTCTCTATTACAGAGATTCCAAAAACTAAATTTAGATAGCCTTTCCCAACGATGCATGATCCAGGTGAGAGAAGATTTATAAATAAACATTCCTCAGTTGCTAACCTCACCATAGATTTTTTTCATGACATGCAGGGACTAATATTAATTATTTCTTGATTACTAATGTCATGAATAATGTCATTTATACCTAGGCCCTACAGTAGGATGTCTCATTTGTTATTCATTCTGGTTCCCAGTTTTAGTTTTACTTTATTACATACTCCTTTATCTCCCTTGCCTAATGGAAATGCCCCTCCTTTTACACGTTTGTGCTATCACATGCCTCCATAGTACCCTAGCCTTTTTGGAATATAAAGGTGTATGAGTTGACCAGTTCTCTTATTTTTGACATTTCCAGATGAAGTCAAGGGTAAAATCCTATATTTTAGGCCTCAAGCAGCATCCATGGACAATATTTGGGATTTTCATGAGTGGCGTCCTATCCACCATTTCTGTAACAATGGTGATCTCTACCATCATATACTGGAAAAATCTGAAAAGATCCAGACTGCATCCACAGGGGAAAATCAGAAAAATTATACGGGGACCTCCAAGGAGCTCAATATGCTAAGCTGCAAAATGAACTGTTAATTCATTTGTCCTTAATATGCCACATGTAGAGTATGTTATCTTTTAAAAAAAAAAACAACCTCCCCAAAAAATAGATCTTTTTGTCTATTCAGATCCCCTACCTCAAAGAGTTTTGTTACGTCTGTAAAAGAGTACTATGAAACAAAACATAACATAGGCCTGTCCGTTAGATGTTTATTTTGCATGTGGCAATATTTTTTTAAAAGTTGCCTCAAAATATCTGTAATGCCATATTCAATAACTTAAATGATCTGTAAACCTGAAGTTCTTCTCAAAAGATCATTTCCCACCAGCAAAATTCAACTGCATTATACTTTGGAATTATTTCTAAAATAGAGTGTAACAATTCCACTGCAAATCTTAAAGTTAATCCTTTTCATGCTCATGCTAAATAAATATATGTTACAGTGCTATATAGGAATATCCTCAAATATTTCAGTAACAACTCTATGCTTCAGTGTCCAAGCACAACAACACAGTATTCTAGGGATTTTTTTTTCCTGTACAGTTGGTATTAAATCAAAATGACTCAAATTCAAATATAAAATAATTGAATCATTTAATTATTTTTTAAAGTGAGCTTCTGTTGGCCAACCCTTGTTGGTATATATTTTGGACAATTGTAATTACAAAATCACTGTTGGTCCCATAGAGTAAAATCACATTCTCTTTGTACTCTTTTACAGACTCTTCACAAAGGGCCTATGGCAGCCTTTTTGATGCAAACTAAAGATAACCCCATGAAAGCCTTAGGAGTGCTAGCTGGTGTCATGGGCATAATGGTGATGATCACAATCATAATCTCTACTGTCATGTTCTGGCGCAATAAGAGGTCCAACAAAATCATGCCGGTAAGACGGATCATAAGAAAGAGACAGACGCATCAGACTAGGGCGGTTAGGATGGAGTGGCTGAAATTCAAAAGGCCCAGCACCATTGCAGAGAAGTTTGCCATTGAAGATGACACAAAGAGCCTGAAGAATGAAAACAGCAACAATAACATCCAAATTCCTTCTCCACTGCCTAGTGCCCCAAGCCCACCCCCACCGCCAATCCCACTTCTAGCACCTAAGAAGAATAGCACTGAATGGAGCGTGCCCACAGTATCAGGTTCCCTGACTCCCACGTTTATAAACAAGCAATTGAAAAAGAAGGGTCACAGCAGTGCCCACAATGCCCTAGTGTCAGAGCTGAAACAGAAGTTTGAAAAAAGGAATGCAGGCAGCAACAACCATCACCTCTAATGAATCCTCATCCACCATACAGGAGGATTGCATATCACTGCAGTGCATGTATATAGTTACTTGGTGTGATTAATCTTTCCAAGTTCTATCAATACACAAGGAACTGCACCCCAAGCTATAATCATTGGTTACTTTGTGCAAGTATTACACCCTAATCTATTTTGCAATTGAATTATTTCGTCTATAACATATAATGAAATTGGTATCAAGTCATTTCCTAGAATTTCACTCAGATTTTTTTATAAATGGTGGTTTCCTCCTAAGGTGCTAATTGTCCTTGTCTTTAGGCTAAAGTTTTCAGAAGTGGCCAGTGATTTATGATGTTGCAGTTTTGGGAGTTTCCAATGTAAACTTCTTTCCAGAGATTTGTTTTTTAAAGGTGCCATTCACCCAAAATTCCAGTTGATGTTCATTCTCATCCATTACATAAAACAGATCCAAGGTGCCTACAATTGGGCATTTAAAATTACAGGACACTTTTGTAAATATTGCCATTATTGTACAAACAGCAGTGTAACAACTATAAGGGGTTATTTGCTAAAGCAGATAAATTGTGATTCTCCAAGTAGGTAGATCATAAATGGGTTCTCGTGTTCAGAGGTGGTTTGCTCTTATGTTTTGCAACAGCTTGTGTGCTTAGGACCTAAGTATCTTTGATTCCAAGTGCAAAGCACAGAAACTTAGAAAAGTTTTTCATTGTCATGCAGTTTATGCTGTCAGAGTACATTTAATGTGCTGCTTTCCTCCATTACCAAACCATGAATGCCTGCCAAGAAGAACAGAAAAAGCTTACTTATTATTTTTCAAACATAGCTGGTGTGGGCCCATATGTAATAATTGCAACACCATCAAAAGGTGGAGCTAACAGTCCCTTCAGATAACACATCTGCCAACAGTGGAGAATAAAGGAGGAGAATAAACCTTTAAAATTGAGGGGAAAATGCTCCTGAAAAAATGAGAGCAGAATCTTGGAAGCAGGATACACCAGGCGGACAAGATGGTGTCTGAAATAATTGGGATGTGGGGATGGTTGTTAAAGAAAATGATTTTTTCGTTTAAATTTCCATTTTAATCCTAAAATATTAGAGTTATGCTATGCTAGCATTGCTAGTGTTTGCAACTTAGTGTTTTTTTACTGTACTTTGTAGCGTGGCAATAATAGTAGTATTGGGCATTGATATGTGTTTCACATGGTCTACCATAGGGTCCTCTTCTGCCATTATTGTTAAACAAAATCTCTCTTATTTGTTCTGAGGTAGATAATACAAATTAACAAGCAAGTGAGTAAAATGCTTCTTTGCGTCTCATGGAATAAGGCATTGGAAGAAATTTAAAGCTTGACTCGCTGATACAGTCTGGCCTATTTATACCACACAAGCAAAGCAAACAATTGAAGTCTGGTTTAATTAGCTAGGTAAGCCAGGTTAAGAGCTGCTTTGCATGCCACAGAATAGGCCCCCTTGTTTCCTTGGGGACAAGAAGAAAGTGAACCTTTTAAAATCTCATCCTCTGGAAGAGCCACTGTGCTGTGGTACTTCAGTGTTTATAACATTGACCTTCTACATGTGTGGGTAAAGATATGATAGGATGTAATGCACAATCCACACAATCCTGCCATAAAACATACGCAAGGCAGGAGGCATGATTGTGAGATTGTGCATTAGATCTGATTGCGCCTTATTGCTAATGCAGGGGGAGCCCAATCCCCGGCTTCCCTGCACTGGCAAGAAACAAGTTCCTGTGGCTGGATGCCCCCTTAGTTGAGGAGCTCTTAGCCATGGGACATTCATGCACCCCCAAAACTAGGAGATCACAGCAGCTGCAATCCACCCAGCCCATCTGGGTCACAGCTGTGGGACTCTGGGTCCCTGTGCTGCCAAGATCCAGAGTCAGCAGCTGCTGGGACTGAGAGTCCCTCAGCTGTGGGACATGCAGCCCTGACTAGGCATGGTGCACCACTGCAGTTGGGACCCTGTTTTATGTGCAAATTGAAACTCAGTAGCAACTAGCTATAAAGTTAGCACACAGTTTTGAGGTCTAACTTCATAGCTGATTGGAACTTTCATGCCAGGATAGCTACTTTGCAGGTATAGCTGGTCTCAAAGGTAATTGTACAATTAACCAGTTAATTATGCAATATCTGTAACATGTAGAGGGAGCTATTGTGTCAACACATTGTTGCACCCTGTTGCCCTCTGGAATATGTTAGCTCCCCAAATATTTTAGGCTTCTCTTAACATCTTTGAGGAGCGTAGGACTGTGCCATGAAATTGAGGAAGAAAAACAAAAACTAAACACTTGGGATGTAAAGTATTCCAGATCATCAGCTTTCCTTTGGAATGTTTCTTTAGTTGATTATGTTATTTCTGACTCTTATCTACAGATTATTTGATTGGGCTGATAGTTAAAGGGAAACCAATCATATACCCTTAATCATGTGACTCCCTCAGGGAAGGTAAGATCTTGTGCTGTCTTCACTGGGGCAATGATGATGCTACTCTGCTACTGATTCAGTAGAGGGTGGCATATAACATCATGATTCTCTGTTCCTTTCTTCTCATCTGCCTACATCTTTCCCACACTATTAATCCTATATCTCATCTTAAGCATCCAAGCTACAGAAGCTCCTAAAAATAATTGGGATGAGGTCTCTGAACCAAAACCTCAACTAATTATTAAAAGACATGGAAAATATGAGACGATCACATGTTGCTGATGAGCAGTGATACAGGAATTATCATGGAATAGTTAATATTCAAAAGGGTATCCCTACACCCTGCATATTTTTAAGTCTTTTTGAATGTTTAAGTCTCCTTTTCTGCACCACTTTGACATCTCACCATCTAATCAGACCATTGTAAAACAACCATTTGAAATCAGTCAGCTGCATTGTGTGTGTGCGTTTCTCTCTCTCTGACACTACAAAAGAAAATATGATGGCAGGTCCTGTAGACAGAGCTCTGAATGATAGATGTGTGGACTAATGAGAGAAAGCAGTGGAACAGTACTACCTTTTCAATTACAGTATGTGGCTCTTTAAAAAATCATATTGGCCACTCCTTTCAACTTTATATATGCATTAGCCCTGATTTTCATTTGTCTATACCAGTTTTATACAAATGTGACTCATGGTGTCCCATCCATTCTATGAAATCTCCATCCATTTTCTATGTCCACTGTCTTTTTTTTCTGTCCTTAAAAAGAAAAGAGGAAACAGTGTTATACACTTTATACTTGGAAGCAAGTTGCCTTTCCAAAGGGACAGAGGACAGATAATATATATATTTATCGGTCAGAAATTGCACAGAGACATACACTGTAGTCTGGAGAGTATTATTTGTACTATGGACCTGATGCCTCATTACAGTATGCTAGAGTAATACTAACCTAAAACTGGTGTAACTGAGTAGAGACTCAATCCCTATCTATTTGCAGGCGAGAGCAATTTCTTCCTATCTACTTGCAAAACCATTGTTTACAAGAACAAGTGTACTGATCACTGAATCTATTTCTTTTTCTTTTTTGTAGTCTCATGTGTAAGGAAAACAGGGCAATGTATAAGAGACCTCCAAAGTACCGAGTGATACAATTAGTGTTTTTTACATAGGAAATGAATGAATAAATAAAATATTAAGTAGAACTATGCAAGTTGTTGAGAGTGGGGAAAATGTGACCTATTATCATTATTATGATCATCTCTATTAATAGCAATAATCAATGATGATGATTATTGTTATTATTACTACTGATTATTCTGTGTAGTTCCAATTAACAGCATTATAGGAGTTTTGGAAAGTGAAAGAGAGAAAAGAGGCTCGAAGTGCAAATTACTGTTGAGACGCAGCACAAAACAAAACTGGTGAAATTCTCTTTGCTTCTCTGCAGCAAGGTTTGAATTTTTCCATACGGCCCTTACTATTTGCCTAGATGCTGCTATCACCCTTCCCACTATTTCCTTTTGTTTCCTCACATGGATTTTACTGCATTTTGGAGCTGATTTATTTGCTCTTATTCTCAGCAAGAATGACTAAACCACAGAGCCCAGCTCCTCTGCTTATGTAAGTCAGCATTGCTTCAGTGGAGCAATTTACAGTGGCTCAACTTCCTCAGGAAACAGTTTACAAAATCACCATCAGCTGCATTTGCACAGCTCTGCTCCAGACCATCTAGGTAATGCATGACTTCACAGGGAGAAGTACTTTTTTTGTAAGGTACAGGAGTGGCCATGATCATCTGCTGTAATGATTTCTATGTAGGACAATTGTTTAATTTGTTACTATTTGTGACTATTTGTTACTATTTGTTCATACACCATTTCATGAGGTTCCAAATGCTTGTAACCTTATCTGTACTACTGTTTTCCTGATGTCATATTTAAGCCAGTATTTAATGTTTATTCTTATATAATGGGAACCTGAAAGGACTGTTAATTTAATTAGATTTAACAAGAATTGTGATAATAGTATTTTTAAAATTGTTTAAATGAGGGGAGGGAAGATGTTTTATTATATATTGTAAGACTTCATTTTCCAGCGGATACAGCTATTCTTTCCTATTATGCTGTATTCCAACTGATTTTTTTTTTATTAATAAAATCTGTTAAAGGTACCCAGTAATTGTAGTATCTTAGCGCTCTCCCCTGACAGAGGTGTGTTTAGTTTTTTTTCTTTTACCCTAAATTTGATAATAAGGGAAGAAATATCAGCACCTGCTCAACATAGTTGTAACTTTGTGCATCTGAGTCGCATCCTTTGGCTATAATGGAAAAAATGAACAGAGGAAGAGGAAGCAATTTCTGCTGTTTGGTCCACAGAACCATCACAGGAAAGTGAATCTCATTCTAGTCTGCCTCATGCCATCAGCAAAATTGCAGGTTCAGCTGGAAGCTAGAGGTTCAGTTCTGTTGCTGATGTGCAGTAGAAGAGAGAAAGCTACAATCTTCTCAAATCCTAAATGCTATGTAGCAGAGATGGTAAGGAGGTTTAAAAAAATCTGCACAT